CCTTTGATTGATGTCCAGACCAAGTTAATTACGTGACTCAAAAAGTGAAAACTTTCGCTCCAACGCTGGCAAGTGGCGCAATTAATTGATTATTTTCAGGGGGGGTACGCTGCGGTGCCAAGCAAAGCACTCAACTCGAGATTGTTATAACAATAATAATAATAATAGTCTGAGGTGGCTGTCATCATAATGTTTTTGCTTACTCCTTGCTACCATCCCATCTCTCCCTCTCATTCCCTTGGACAATGAGCAGGGGAATGTCTCTCTTGTCTGGCAGGCAGGCGTTGGCAGAGATTACGCATTAAATAAATCATCATGCGACAAGGGAGGGGGCGGGACTGGCATGTAGGGGGGCGCGTTGTGTTCCTAACACTTCAGTTGGGCTGAAATCTCGTGCCGAGATTTATTGTAAATAAGCATGATTATCGTGGCATCACGTATACGCCATGATGAACGCGGCTGGCAGGCCGCTCTCTGACTGACTGACAGACAGACAGACAATTCGGAATTCAGGCTCGGCTTGGATTCACATTTGAAGTCTAATTAGCAGCTACGAAAAATGCGTAGCAATATTCTGGCACGAGTTCATATGAATATGGATTATTATTTGTATAGCTGAGGATGAGGGGGTCCTCATCCAAGACTTGAACAGACAGAACTTCAGGTTCCTTTCTCCTTTCATCAGTATCCTTTCTCTATCTGTAGAGGTGCATTGTCTTTGATCATTTGCCTCAAGTGTGGCTATGAAAGGCCTTCTGGCTCTCCACTCAGGTCTCATTCGGTGTATGGCATCCGAATGCGAGTATTCCGCATTGCCATAAGCCCATGCCATTGCCATAGCCATAGCCATAACCTCATCTTGACAGAACATGGCTTTGCCTGAATCTGGGACTTCCATCTGTCTGTCTGTCTGGATGTCTGAATGTCGCTCTCTCTCTCTCTCGCTCTCGCTCTCTCTCGCTCTCGCTCTCTCTCGCACTGCTTTCGCTTCGCGTAACCTCAATGTGTTGCAAACCCATCAGAGACAGCAGCAGCATCAGCAGCGGCGTGTCCTTGGCATCCTGTGCCCCATTTCAACCACTCCCTAGGCACCCCTAGATGGCGGCTTTAGTCGCATTACTGTGGCGCTTAAAAGGTTAAAACGTTTCTGACTTTGAGAGGCAGCCAGACTCTACAGTGGCACTGCCACTGGTACTGGCGCCACACAGCCAGCAAATCGTCTAATGAAAGCGACTTTCTCAAATAAAATAATTCTGCCTCATTTTTTTCTTTTTCTCTACTGCCATTTTCTGTGTGCTCTTTGCTTTTCCATTTCGGGGCTGAGGGGCTGTGGGCCTGTGGGTGTGCCATTTTAATTGAGCCAGTTTGTTTAATTAAACATTAAAATTTCCCAAAATTAGAAAGTCAAATATTTCAAATGCTTGTGGCATGTGCTGAAGGTGTTTGACATTCTAATTGAATTGGCTTTAAGATTCAAGGTCCTGGTCCCGTTCCCGTCTGAGTCTGCTTTATGTCGACTGAGGCATTATTATCCGGCTTTGCACTGTAAAACTCTCCATTAATGTTGCAGGAGGCCTCATCACACGCAAATTACGCACATTATAAGGCTCATCGGCCAGCAAATGACCTAGACAAGAGCCCCAAACTGGTCGTTAGGCAAGCAGCCCGTGCTGGGCCCCCCCCACAAGGACCTAATTCTCATGACCGCAGTGAACTTTTGCATAGAAAAAGAAGAACTACTACTGCGTGTACACGGAACTGTAATGAACTCCACTCAAACTTGACCCAGTCCGCGGCCAAGTCCGAGCTTGGGGTTTCATCTAGGCAGCGTTACCTGTTGCCACAGAAAAGAGATAGAGACAGAGAGAGACAGAGAGAGAGAGAGAGAGAGAGAGAGTGAGTGAGGAGCAGAGAGTTCGCTGCTTTCTTTTGCATTCATTTTCTTCCCTGTCCATTCCCCCTTCCATTCGCCATGTTCCTGCCATGTTTCTCTGTGCAAACGACATTCATAATTTTTATTTACTTTCCTTCGTTTCATTTTCATTTCGCTTTCGGTTTTCCCTTTGGCATTTTTATGCTCTCAACGACATTGCGCGTACCACATTTCGTATACTTAATGAGATTTTTTTTCGCGCAGACATATTTGCAATTTGGAGACGGAGACCGAGACGACTACGGAAACGCCGACGCTCTTGGGCTGTTGGGCAGCGTGTAAAAGTTGAAACCGCAAAAATATTTTGCTTTACTTGCGCGGCAAGAGAAAAGGCGTGGCACCCCACCCCCAGCCACAACAGTTTCACATCCACTTCTAGTTGCAGCGTCGCCGTCGCCGTCTGCGTCTGCGTCTCCGTCTGCGTTTCGGCTTCGGTTCAATTTGAAAGTTTCCTTTCAGTTAAACCCAGCAGCAACAAAAACTAATTACAATCTCAAGTTGTTTTTTCAACACTCAAAGCGGGGCTGGCAGACATACCCAGCTACCCCTAACCTTACCATCCGAACTTCTGCAAGGTCTGAGGGCTCTGAGGAGGGTTAAAAAAAATTATATTAAAAAGTGCACCAGCGCAGCGAGTCTGGGAGCAAGTTTAATTTTAGTTTTTGCAACTATTTTTCGCTCGCGCAGCTCCCATTCCTATTCGTATTGTTGTTTTGTCCTTATTTTGTACTTTGCACTTTGTGCAAGAATTTATCATTGTTCTTGGCCCCACTTCTGGTGCACTTGCCCCACTGCAGTCGTCGTCGCTCTCCCTTTTAGCTGCTCCTCTTGCAAATTGCACCTCTGTGATTATGGCCACTTGGCATCGTCTTCGCCGCTGTCGTCGCAGCTTTGTTACTCCATTTAGCCATTTAAGTGACGGGGAAGCGCAGCAGAGCTAAGGCAGGGGCGCGCTGCAATGTTTTTTGGGGTCACTTGGCTAGCTCTAATGGCATTTCTCTTCTTTAGTCTCCCGGGGAAATGCACTTGACAACACCTTGACATTCTTCATTAGTGTTGTGCTCCCAAGCTAAATTCAGCCAATTCACAATTGGACAAAACAGCAGCAGCAGAAGGAGCAGCAGGAGCAGCAGGAGGAGCAAACATCCTTCAAAATTTGGATGCTAATCTCTGTCATCAGGCTGGAAAATCTCCCGCTGCCCCGGCCCAATTGAGAGAGCTCTGGCTGGGTGCCCCATTCAAATTCTGTTGCGTCATTATTCAAAATGTCAATGTCATTTCATTTTTCCTACCACTCCCGCACTCACCCACTTGCCACTCTGGCTCTCTGGCTCTTTTTGTGACACTACAGACTCGTTTTTTGGCTGCTGAAGTCTCAACCGACTGCACTGACAGCTGATGACTGTTCGGCTGCCTACACACACACACACATAGGATGGTACAGAATGGCATACACAACAGTGGGAAGTGCGATTCCCCAAGGAACCAAGGCGTTTGTCATGCTTAGCTGCCGCTGCCCGCTGCCCCTGCTGCTGTTGAGGCTTTCCGACAGTTTTTTGAGTTTAAAGTTTTTATTAGAATCATCGGGTAGGGGCTGGATCCTGGATTAGCTTAAATTGTTGAAATTTTGAGTGTTCCTTAAATCATTGACCCAATATTAGCTTACTCCCGAACACTTTGGCCACTCTAGGGAAGGTCTTTGGGTTGCCCTATTTACTTGGTATTTGCCAAAGGGGTGGGGGGCCGTTCATTTATTTAACAAATGACAAGCGCTTTGCAAATCAAACAACAATAACTAATAGACAGTTTGTTTGCCTGCTTCTTTGTTGTTCGAGTTATTTAGTACAAATGGGCCTCGGGTCGCTTATCTTTTAGGCCAGGCCCGAACAAAGCCCCATCGGAGCTGGAGCTGGGGCTGGGGCTGCGCCTTTATCTGCCGGCCAGCAGCAGTCGAGGCAGCCACAATAATGCACCATCAAAAATATGCGATACAGATGTGTGTGGTACGGGTTTTTGGATCTATATAATGCTCGTATGTGTGTATGCATTATAGCTAATAACCGATTTGCGTGCCCAACGCACATAAACCAAGCCGCCATTCGCTGCTTTTGCTGTTCCCACTGGTCGTGGTGGGGGGGAGCCTGTGGCACGTGGTGGGTGGGAGTGTGCGGGTGTCATGCGAGTAATGCACAATAATATCGTAATTTATTAAGTTTTTCTTTGGGGAATTTCGATGCATTAGCAGAGAAAACAAGATACGAAAATAAGGCTTAAAATCACCAAACAACTGTTAACAATATAAAGCTCTATTGGAAAAATATAACTAATAAAGAAATTAAAATTAAATTATACAAAAATATATTCTTTGAATTTTATTTTTTTTTTTGTAATATTAAAAATTCAACATTTACTCGGTGAAAATCTAGTTCGAGAAATCAGTCAGAAATGTATTAATTAAATTTCCGTCAGTGTTTACGATCAAAAGAGGAAATTTTAGCTAAGTTTCTGACCCACGGCAGCGAAGAGAAAAACAAAACAAAAGCTCCGCGCCAAGCGACTCTCTAGCTCGCTCCCTGTCGCACTAAGCTCACTCTCAGAGCGGCGCTCATTTGATCGTTTTATCAAGCTTAGCAGAGACACCAACCCAACCAACTGTGCCCATCAATTAAATCAAATTTCAAAAATAATTTCAAAAGAATTCATATTTAAATAGTTTTTATTTTAACTAAAATCTATGGTGTGTTTGTTCTTCGTTTGATTAATATAGCTCATTCATACAAATTTGTATATGCGTACTTTTCCAAAATTAACTATTTTTATCCTATAAATATAAATACGAGTATACAACAAATTACTTAATAGTTGGATTTGTATTTAATTTAATTGAAAAACTTTATTAAATTCTTTTAAGAACTTTATTTTTTAGAAGCTTTGACTTTTGCTGGAATAAAAGCCTAGCTAATCCACTGTGCAGCTGGCCGTTTAGACAACTTTAAAATGACGTCGAAATGGGCTCTAGCGGCCCGCGCGATCTGTCAGCACCGTCTCTGTCAGCATGTCTGCGATCAGTTGAACTTAAGTCGCCGAGTCGAGCAGCAGCAGCAGCAGCAACAGCAGTACGCGGAAACGGTCGAACGAGCGCGATTCGATAATCGAAAGAACCTGAGCTGAGTTTTAAGACGGTTGCACGCATACACGAATTTCTGAAGTGTGCTTTTCGCGCTGCCGCAATTCCTCGTAAATCAGAGCAAAAAGCAATTGAGATTGTGAATCGGCCAGCAGCAGTATTGGGAGTGATCTGGCTATTGTGTGGCAATTTCTGTGCCTTAGTTTGTTGGCTAATTGTGCAAGTAAAATATACAGAGATATTTGTACCGCAGTAGCAGCAGCAGCAGCAACCACGCTTCATATTTCGCATGCGCGTCGTTCGTTTCGTCTAGTTTGTTTGTTGTATCTGTGTGAGTGGCCGCGTATCTGTGTGTGTGTGTGTGTGTGTGTCTGTGTTTGTGCGCTCAATCTTTGCTCAATCGCAATCTTTGGGCATTGCCAAAACTGGTTGACTAAAAGCAAACGTGTTCTTTACGCTTTTGTTGACTTTGCCAGCGCAAAGCCAAAAGTTAGTCAGCAAGAAAATATTACAAAATAAATAAAAGCCAAACAAAGAAAAGAAAAACCAATTTAAACAACAATTCCTGTGAACAAGTGACCTGCACAACCTGCAATCAGTAACCTGCAATCAGTACTGCAGCCTTAAGAACCCCAGCAAAACAGGTAAGGCCAAGCCACGGTCCTCATTATAAATGTAAAGGGTTAAGTGGATAAAGATTCAGCCTTTTCCACTTCTCAACTCGATTTTTCAAGGATGCCATCGAAAGCGCAAAAAAAAAGATAATGCAGGGCACCGCAAAATGTACATTCTCCCCGTCAGTCAGCATCACCAGCAGCAGAAGCAGCAGCAGCAGAAGCAACAAAAGTAGCAGCAGAAGCACCAAAGCATCGTCAACGACCTGCTCCAATTCGATTCATGCAGCCCAAGGTCAGCGGCAACGGCTTTAAAATGCAAACTCAGCTGAAGCTGAAGCTAAAACTGAAGTCGGAACCTGAAGTTGAAGCTCAACCTGAAGCTGTATCTCCATATGAGTCTGATGTTGCTTCTGCCTTTGCTGTCGTTGACTTTGCTGCTGCCACAGCCACGTTTTAATACCCTTTCAATTGGTACTACATTTCCAGTTAGATGTCGTCTGGTAAGGCGCATAGGGAAGCAGCTCGACCCTTTCTTATATATTTATTAGCTTTCTGGTTGCTGTAGGGCCTAAATAGTTTTCAGATTGCAGACATGCAAAAATATTAGAAGGAACCAGTAAAGAGTATACAAACTTCGGCATGCATGAAATACGCTTCGATATTTTTTTTCTGTTGTTTTTTTGTTTTGGGTTTTTTGAACTTTTCTGCTTCGTTTGGCTTTTGGTATACTGTGTTAAAGAGCTGAAAAAACCTTCCATGTGGCAAACCAAAATGAAGTTTCCGTTTAATGTGTTGAGCCTTAACTGAATTGAGATTGTTGTAGGTTAGTGTCTTCTGCCAGTGGGTCTGCTGTGGCCATCTCTCAGTGGCCTTCAGTTGAATTCATAAGCCAACCGGTTGCAGTGTCTTTTACAGTCGCTGGTAATTATTTAATTTTGTGCCTCTAACTGGGTACTTAACCTTTCCAATTTAACCACAAACCGCAACAATGAGAGTAAGAGCCCCACAACAAAAGCAGCAGCAACAGCAGCTACACCACCACCAACGGCTTGGCACAATTAAAACCACAAAACTCAACCTCACTCGTTAGTTAACTTTGACCTGCTCAGCAAAAGCAAACGCAAAAGGGTTTCCACGCACACGCAAAGTTCGGATTTAAAGAGGTTAAGCGAACATTTGAGCGGACCATAAAGAGTAGCTCTTAAATTCTGACTAATTTGGTTATGGGAAAATGAATAAAAAAAAGTGAAGCAAAAAATTAATGTGGTCAAGGAGCCCAAGCCACCGCCTTGGGTCCTCTTAAGTTAATTATTTCACATGAATTGCAGAATTACACTCATACTCACTTAATAAAGCATTAAACATTATTGCGAACATTTTTCCATTGTCATGAATTAATTTTTGCATCGATTTCTGTTCATTGGAGATCATAAAGATGCAAATTAAATCCGTGCACAAGCTCTCAAAGAACTTGCAAGTCACAATGAGTAAGACAAATGGGGCATTTTTTTTATTATTAAAAATAAACTTTGGTCATAAACAGAGTCCGAGTCAGACACTGCGCTAACTGGACAACTTTGAGTGGGAGTAAAATAATATTAGAGAATACAAAAAATATATATGGACGATAGGCAATATTCTGAGGCGACTCATCATTAGGAAGCCGTTCAGGCTATTAACGCGTACCACCTGACAAAGCGAATACTCATCCCCCTACATTTAAAATATTTACATTTTGCCATTGTAATACAGATCCCCCGACTGATTGAGTTTGAGTGGGAGTAAAAAACTTTTTATTCCAAAAATTCGATCAATGTCAAATTAAATAAAAGTTTTTCAACGTTTTTAGAGTTTCAATTTAAATAATTTCCGGCAAATTTGCTAATTGTTTCGCCAAAAATTCTAATTAGTGCGCCCGTGGCCGTGCTCTACTATGTGAATCACTCGTTAACCGACCGGACCGCCAATTGCATCTGCAATAAATTATACTCAACATTTTGGCACTTATTTGGTGCTTTTTAAAGTGCAATTAACGCCGAGCTGCTGCACAATTATTTATTTTTATATTGAATATATTTTCCATTTGTTTTTTTTCGCGATGCTTTGACAACATTTTGCCCGACCTGTCGTTGCATGGGAAGCGTACTCGTAATTTTATTGAGTTTGTCAAGGCGCATCGGCGTTTTGGCCATTTGTTACATTTGTATGCCGCACAGTCGTGCCATATAGCGGATGCCGATGTAATGGCAATTGATTTACATGCTATGCGAAAATGCAAAAAAAAATAATTTCACCATACAATACATACATACATATATGTGTATATATATAATTATTCAATTAAACGACCGCACACACAGAACAATTTGCAGCGAACCAAAGGTAACCGCCAATAAAAATAGTCAACCAAATACAAATAAATGTATTTCCATTTTCCTTTCCATTTTTTGTTTTTGTTTTTTTGTTTGTGTTTCTTTCAATTTATTTCATTTTCCGACATGAGACATGGAGCCGCGAATGCAATCAAAGTTGTACTTTATGGAACTACAAAAAAAAGGGCCAAGCGCCAAAAGTCCGTGTGAAATTTAATTTATTTATTTGATTTCATTTGCAAAAAGTGTCAGATGAGTAAAAAGGTTATCCATAAATGAGGGCACAGCATGCCAGAGACTGCCCTTCAAAAGGTGGCGAGATAAAAAGATATCCAACAAAACAATAATTAAATTCTAATTGATTGTAAAAGCTATCACAGCTCGTAGATACTTCGGCAATATGAAATTAGTGCTCTGCCAGTCGAAGCCAATTACGGCTGCCTGCCTGACCGGATGAATATTGCCCAAAGAGATTGATTCCTTGCCCCACTTTGGCCAAGTCTTGGCCCCGTCGATAAATATCAATGAAATCAATTTGTGCATTTTTCAACCACAAGTCAGTCGAGTTTAATTATTGTAAATAGCATTTGAGCAAGCGCCGCCAGCTGCCGGAGAAAAATGAATTATGCAAATACTCCTAACAAAGTTATGAAATACTCGCAGTCAACGTTAAATGTGGGAAAAATAGCTCAATGAAATTCGGCACGATGCGAAATCAATACAGCAAGCCATAAATATGAACAATCAGTGGCGGAGCAAATAAATTTTCCAACTCATCGTCTTTTATGTCCATGAGAATATGCAAAGTTTCTCTCCATTCCATTCCATTTCGTTTCGTTTCGTTTTTTATTTTCAGCAACGTTTTGGCCCACTTTCTGGCCAAACTGACAACTGACAAACACTAACCGTAATAAGCCACTTGTAAGGCAGCAATGATGCAGATCTATAATGGAGATACGTACATAGTATACTACATACATATACTCGTGCACTCTCCCCATCTACGGTTGACACATTTGCATAATCCGAGTCAAATCTTTGGTAACAAGTAATCGAAAATAAATTTGCATAACAAATGCCATCTAAGCGGGGCCCAGCCCCGGTGGCAGAAAAAAAAAAATGAGCAATAATCTGAAAGTGGTGGCAAAGCAGTCTAGTAAAGATTGAATACCCCACATCAATCAATAAAATATACAAATAGACTGCTGCTAGATATGCATACATATACCAAGTAGTATATCCTTCACGACTTTTGGCACTCAAGCGTATTGAAATTTAATCACAGTTTAAATTGAAAATCCCCGAAAGCCAAATACAGTGAAAGGTCGCTCCTATGATTTTATATTTTTTTATGGTAAGATACCATATACAATTTATTTTTGGCATATATTGTATGCATTGTATATCAGCAAATAGAACAAACATCAGCCTTCAGGCTGAGTGGCGGAAAAAAAAGTTAACAAAACGGAACCCGAGCCCCCGAGCCCCGGTCCCAGCTCCGGCTACGGCCACGGCTCCTGTTCGAGAGATCCGGCTGTGGCTCCGAGTAATTGCCAAATGTTTACGCACATATGTACCAGTAATATTTGCATATAAACAGGCATATGTAGCCGCTTTTTATTCTGACGTTGCAACGCTTTTTTAGGGCTCTGTTCTCCCCCATTTGCATTTCATTTCAAGGCTTGTTTTTTTTTTGTTAAGGCAACTCTGCAAATCCTAGGGGCATACAGCCCAGCCATATGAAGTGCCAGGGCCGACTGGCTGTGATTTCATTTGGCAGTTGGAATTCGTTCATGATGGGTTTTTTCGCACTGAAGGGGAAATGTGATGACATGATTTTCAAGTGTTTACGTTTACCCACAAACACACACCCGAAAAAAAAACCCTGGGAGAGGAAAACCCAAATGCTGACATTGAGCGGAGTCCTTTATGAATGGCATTGCTACACTTTAATTAATTTCAGGTGGCAGAAGTATCCTTTGTCTGTTGCTTAATTGAAAAACGGTCTCCGGTTGATTGTTTGGACGACTGCTTAAGTCACTGCAGACGGATTATTCCGGGTTAATGACTCCTTCAAGTGACACTTGAACGCACTTCAGACCCAGTCAGCAGCGGGCAAGGCAGCTGCCTTGCACCGGTCCAACATTCTACTCTCGTCTTACAACAGAAAAGCTGCTTAGCTTACTGTCCGACCGTTCCGTTCCGTCAGTCTCTGGCCTTTCGGTTAGCGGCGGTTTTGGTTTTCCCCCACCAAAAATAAAAAATGTAGAAAAAACGAGAAGGAACGTGTGAGTCGCTTCTAAAGACGCGACTCTACTTATACCCGTACTCAGTCAGTATTTACATTTTTGAGCATATGATTTTCAGAATTTAGAATTAAAAAAAAAAATTTTACATATTACATTTTTTTGCTACATCTGTTATCTACATCTACATCTACAATGTATATTTTACATCTAACATGTAGATTATAGATGTACTATTCATATTCTACATCTTTTCCGCTAGGGGTTGCTCGCGCACTGAACGCGGCAGAGTGTGCGAGCGAGAAGGAAAATGAGTTTCGTTGTCGTCGTCGGGAGGGGGGGCAGGGGAAGCAACTGAAAATTAATTTCGTCATTCTGGCTATAATTATGATCCGATCTAATTCAGATT